TCTTTCCTGCCTATGCAGGGGGTCGGACTCGATGATCTATTGAGGTCCCTTCCGACCCTAACATCTATGAACTCACATCTCAGACCACTTTGCAGAATCCTGCAAAAGGCATGCCTGCTCTGCTTAATGCCATGGTATGCAAGAGCTACCTAGAGCTGATACTTCAGGTACCACAGGAATATAATTGTGTTAGCATGATGCTCTTCCCTGGCTAATATACCCAGATTCTCAGCATGACCAGTTAGCTTAGTGGAGCACTGCACTGCACTAACATGGCTATATTGCTTCCAGTACCATTGCTCAATGCATTTCTTCATGAAATAGGGTATGTATACTTAGCATAAGGCAAAGTGAAGGTCAAAGTTCAGTTGTAGCAGACTCTGAGAATTAATCCTCCACTTCCTTTAGAATTCCCATCCATCTATCAGGAATGCATACCAAGGCATTTTCAACGAAGAACACCCTTGCTGACAACCATTAGACAGTTCAGAGGAAGAGATTCACTCTTACACAGTAGACCTCAAGTCATGTGGATGTATAGATTAAAGGAGACCCCTTGAATAGCATCAAAACAACTGGAAAAATGTAGCCTGTGATTTCATAGCTGTAGTTTAGCCGCTTGGAATTTCATTGAGAGATGGCTCACTCAGGTCCTCTTCTTCAGCTCAGGTCCTTACTGTTAAAGCTAACAAGGGATTAAAGGAACTGCCTCTTGCTGTGGTCATACTGTTAGGGAGACTTTTTGGTTAAATTTATTTCTTCATGATTTCCAACGAGTATTTTACACAAGTATTTTACACTTCTACAATATATATAAGAAAGGTGTAAAAGTATCTGTTCTCAAAATATAACATTCTGTCTGCATTGTTTTTGACATTCCTCATAACAGGTAGCTTCCATTCCATTTCTCTACATCAAAAATGCAATATTACATGCAAAAGAGTTCCATATTTCTGGAAGTGACTTGTATATTGAATAACAAAAATGTGACAATCCAGGGGTAGTAGTTAGGCCTGTGTGAATAGGGAAGTATTTGATTCTGAATTGGCTGATTCAGAGATTTGGATCAACTTTGGAAGATGTGGTGCTGATTCAGAGAAATTCGGTGATATGGATTGGCCACGGAGGCAGGCACAGCCCGGTGGCTCCTCTGGCTGTGCCTGCCTCTCCCTGGGTGGGGGGAGCCGCAGGAGAAGCCCCCATCCTAGTCCCAGCACTTTGAAAAAAAAGCCTCGTACTCACCGCCTGCAGGAGTGGCGATTGGGGCTTCTGGGTGCTCATGGCAGATCCTCCCTGTGCAGTGTGGGGCAGTGGGGGCAGCAGGGATCGCCCCCCCCTGCCTGGCACCTGCGCAGCAGCTGCCCCATGGCACAGGTGCAGCACAGCTCTGCAGGGTGCCGTGCGCTGTCTGGGAGCTGGGGCCGTTGGTGCCGAGTGCTGCTGGGCTCCATCTTACACATGGAGCCACCCCAGCTCCCAGGCAGTGCGCAGCACCCTGCCAAGCCATGCTGCATCTGCACCATGGGGCAGCTGCTGTGCAGGTGCCAAGTTGGGGGGGGGAGGGTGATCCCTGCTTCCCCCTGCTGCATTGGGGGGGGA